GTAGAGACGATTGATGAACTACCACAATTAGTCCGCTTTTGCCTCATCGCTAACTACCGCGATCGGTGGGGTGGAGGAGGAGGGGGGATGGGCAAGGGCTATGTAGCGCTGGTGAAATTTTCAAATCGATAAGCAAAAAATTTCTCATCAGGACTTATATGACCACCTCCATTGGAAACCAACGATCGGAGCAAGTCTTCTTGAAGCCAAATATGATCCCTCTAAACCAGCGATCGAAAGCCACAATCTGATGAGTTTTCCGCAATGATGCTGTACCCTTGCTGGGCTATAAATCCGCTGGGAAGAATACGGAACACTCCACCATGGAGCTGTAATGAGGACGCCTCTCCATAAGTTGCAGCATATCACTTCTTGGCACGCAGAACCAGTTGGCAGGGGGCCATCTGCCTACTAGTCACTAGAAAAAGGACTTGGCAGAACGAAAACCTTTTTATTCTTTCTTTTCTTGGGGGGGGGGGGATTGTGCGGGTAATTGTGGCCCCTTCCAACGCCGTGGGATAATCATTTGGCATTCTGCCGCGCGCGAAATCACTGGTTTACAGCCTTTCTCATGAGAAACAAACATTCCACACCCCTAAGTATGGTCACGATCAACTTATTGAGCGCAATGAGGTTAGCATGGATAAATGTAATTATTCACCTTGACCTGTTTCCCTTGATAGTACCGTGTCTGCAACACCTGGGTACCACAATACAGTATGTGCTTTGAGTGCTTCTCGAAACAGAATCGCATGTCCTCTTCGTCTTCGTGAACAGCAGTCAACGCCACCTGAAACGTCGATCTCAAATATGTAAGTAACAAATTATTTACAGCTTAGCGAACGTATCACGATCTGCGACACCCTCTTCATGGCATGCTCTACAAGTGGAGAACTGGTCGCAGTGTATGCGATGGATCCCTTGAGCAGCATTCGGGCTCCGCGATGAAGCGCGTCAACGCGCTGTTACGCGCGTGAGGAGCATCGACGCGCCACCATTGCAACAGTGCTCTTGAAAAAGTATGGTAGAATTGGAGGATACTCGTTGCCTAGTCATTCTGGTAGCGATCAGCATGGCCGCTAGTGTTTGGGAGAGTCAGCGGGAACTGGAGGGTACCAGACGCCCTACATGCCTTATGGCGCATGGTCGAGTCTGAACGCTGCCCCATCGGAAATGGAACGGTCGACCTCTCAGCGCCACGGTTATAGTCGTGCCTCGCGCTTCAAACCGAATGCAGGAAGTTCGTTTGGGTGCAGTTCGGCAACGGGTGTTTTGCACCCTTGCCATTTCCCATCAACGTATCGACCCATCCAGAGAGCCTTTTCGTGAGTTGAGTTTCACATTGTAGCTCGATGAGCTTGCTCCAGCTTCACAGGAGTTCACAGGTTTCATCAGGTAAAGTATGCAAACCGGAACTAGTGGAGCAATGAAAGTGCAAAATGCCCCCCCCCCCACTCCGTCGGCGAACTGCCGCTCGTTTGATACCCCCTACACAAATCAAAGTGGTCTTGTCGCGCTCACCGAGCGTGGTAGACCGCGCGACAATTTCATAGTGAAGTCTTGGATCTTTCGCGCCGACACTTTGTGAGAGAGGCAAAGAGAGCTGGGAAGTGTCACGTTACGTAAAGCTACGGCGTGTTTTACCAAACAAAGCCCATAAAATGTGCACGTCGTGAAGAGGTTTGTCTAACCACTGTGAGTTCCCAAAGGTAAAAATTACTCGTCCAGTGAGGGAGTCTCGTACTACTCGAGCAACACTCCTCGCTCTTTATGTGAGCAGGGGCAGATGTGCGTTTCTCCTCGGTTTTTCTTATTGGCGCGCTTGTCTTTCTGAGACAGTAAAGACAGTAAAAGGGAGAGCCAGTGAGTAAAGCACTGTCCCACCCAAACGATCAGCGCGAGCACGGATCAACTCAAGGAGTGCAGGGACGCAGACCACATATCGAAGGAGATGATGAAAAAGGAAGGAAAAAATAATGTTGAAGAAGAAAACTAATTATTCACTGACGGTACCTTAGTGATAGGGACGGATTCCCCTGTCAGCATGCTTTCATTCACGATTGCTGTGCCATTCATTAACACAGCATCACACTGCATAATACCTCCATGAGCCGGTACGAGAAAGATATCTCCGGGCACGAGCTGTAAAGGAAACATTAGAGGGAAAGATAAAACAGTTACAGAAGATTATAAATTTCAAACAAACGATCAATTAATGCAGTAGGAACCCACTTCTTCACTATTGATTGTCTTTACAGTTTCTTCACGTACCACCTGCACCTCGTTGGACGATTGGACCATAGATCGTAGCTTCTTCTCTTGACTCCTGAAGCGAAAAACATTCACAGAGCACACAAAGACATCCAAGCTGGATTCCAAGGTTCGTGGGAACCAAGCAGGGCACAACTTCGCCGTGACGTCTGTATGTGGGGCCATACTTGAACAAAAATTTTTCGATGTCGATTTGCCCCGTTTCAGGCATTCTACAGTCACTCCATCGGAAGGCAAAAGAAGAAACCGCGTAACTACCGTTCACTCCCGTACCCGCTGTCCTTTCGTGCATAACGAAAGGAGAGCGGGTACGGGGGTGAAGGCCTAAGCGTAACTGCCTTTCTTCACTGTGAGCCCTCACAACTGTCGTTGCGCTCCGCATGCGTGCTCGGGTATGACCATTTTTCCACTCAGATGCGACCTGTACCCTTCTCCAGGGCGCAATAAGTCCACAATTTCTGATAAACGATCGGAGACCTGTTGAGCCTCTCCCTTCTCACATGAAAAGGGAAAAAACAAATAAATAGCCAAATGAATAGATAAATCATAACAGTTACACAGAAGCTCTAGTATATAGCCCTGTATAAGAAAAACTAACCTCGTTTGATAGACATCTATTGCAATTGACATCACAGACATAACCACTATAATTGAAGCGTAGTACTCGTAATTATCGGAAAACCAAATGGAAACACTGAAAGGTGGAATTTTTGAGTTATCTGAAAATGAGTACCCTACAGTTGTTCAAAGATATCGTGCGGGATTGACGGGGTGGGCGGTGCCAGAGAACGATTGGCGCGCCCACTCCTCTCCTCGCGCCGAGGAGGAAGAAGGGTAGCAAAAGAACGTTCCAGTGCGTCTTCGCAATCCCAGACGGTGTCATTGGGTTAATTAGCCTGTCTTGCTCGAGCTAAAACCAAAATTCCCTCAGCATTGAGATAAGTATGTCCCCTACAAATCAACAGGAGGGTCAAGACAATCGAAATTAGCCTCAATCAAAAGCTCAGTTGAAACCAGAATTTAGAGCTATTTGGCGACGGGAGGGGGGCATTTTGCACTTTAACGACTTCCCATCGACGTGTCGACCTAGACAGCCTCTTCTCGAGTTGACAGGTTTTACCATGATGGCTTGACGAGCTTGCTCCAGCTTCACAAGAGTTCACAGGTTTCACCAGAGTGAGACTTGTAAACCAGAACTAGTGAAGCAACGAAAGTACGAAATGCCCTCCCCCCGTCGGCAAACTGCGCCCCAGATTTTTTTTACTGAACCATGACATCTACCTGAAAACTTGAAAGATATAAAATGGTGAAATCGCTTCCATAAAAAGTAGAACAATAATAGGCTTGAGCTTGACTTCGATGCAATTCTTTCCATAGGTAACCTGTCGGCGACTAACATCGCCTTCTGATAGACCTTTTCCAGATGCCGCTTGTGAATGAAAATGCACCAAAGGGATCTGAAAGAAGCAAATACAAGCGATAGACGACAAAAAAGATTCAGGTTGGTAGGGTATGTTCCAAAAGTTGAAAGAAGGATAGAGCAACGCTATGGAAGGAATAAAAAGATAATAAGTTAAAAAGACATGAAAGCAGTTATACGAGATAATTGAAAAAACACATGTGCGAAAACAGTGATACTCACCTGCCCATCGAGATCAGCTGGAGCTATCCATGCCTCGACTTCGGACCGCCATACATATTTTAATTTTCGAAATGTAAAGTATCGTATAGAGTCCACCTCTTGCATGGTCCCGTCACCCTTCAAAAAGATATTCAGAAAAAAGAAAAGAACAGGAACCGTCATTATATTGGCTCCCTTAAAGGCAGTTGGCACGATAAATCCCCCAAGACGACTAGGATCAATACTCCTGGCAGGACGGAATTCCGCGACCCTGAGCAGGCGCTGCATAGCGGCTTTCCAAGGAAGGTGCCCTTATAAGGGCCCTATCAAGCCACAACATTCCGACCCAAACGCCCGCCACGCCCGCCCGCCCACAAATGGACGACCGTTCCTGACGCTCGTATTCATTCATTTGCTAAGCAAATTATGAAGCGAAGGGATTGGTATGAAGCGGCCGTGATGCTGCATGCATACATGGGTACACATATGCAGCCGTATCTTCGGTAGCGGTGATTGGTAAGATGCCTACGGGAAACTCGTCCGAAATCGATTTACAAGTCACTGAGAACGGAGGCTTTTTCTTCGCAGGATTTTGACCGTTTCACTCCGTTCTTTCGCCATTTCCCCACTATACAGCGCCCTACTAGCATTTTAGGCCGAGTAGGAAACCATCGTGCCAACTGCCTTTAAGGTAAATAGAGGGTAAGGCCTAGGGACATATTTCCACGATCGCGAGCCAACCTTCTTCAATACATACAAACCATTTGCTTCTTTTCTTCTCAAAAACATATTTTTGCAAATTATGTGGCGGGCTCAATTCCCTCGCTAGGAAAACCCAGGGGTGAGGCCAGAGGTAAAACAATAAAATAATTACCGTTGGAAGCACAGGCGATATACCGCCGACGGCTGCGTGATAACGAATCGGTCGAAATGCCTCCACACTATGCTCATCTCTGGAACACCAGTTTAATACCATGCCTGTTTACTTCAAGTAACCATAACACAAAATGACTAGGTTCAAGAATTATTAGTGCGTATTTGACTTCAAAACAAAACTTGTTACAACGAAAAATTGAACAAGTCAATCCACGATCCTATCTCCATTATCAACGTTACTCGTCTCCTTTCAGAAGTGGGACAGTGGATGTACCTTTCAAACAATCGGCTCAGCTGTTAGATGAAGAAAATGAGCCCCCAGCCCTGTTTCATATTTTTGCCTCTTTCATATTTTACCTCACTTTTTACTCTGCCAAGAAGTGTCGCATGGACCACAACATGCGCCTCTAGACGGAGCAGCATCGGGGCCATACACAACCTTAAAGACAGTTCCCACGATAAAGTGTCAGGCAGCTTTCATACTTCGCGACAGCAGGGCAGGTCGGGCGGTCGCGGCGACCTCGGCGACCTCGGCCATCGCCGCGATCCCGCTGCCTGTATGAACGTTGCCTTCATGGATAATTGCTGTTCAGTTATGAAACAGTAGCTGATAAGTAATTCCTCAAGAAGAAAAAAGCAAGAAGAGTCCTCGAGAACACCACAAACAAAATCTCTCCCTGACAGGGACAGTCTCTCAGCTTGGGGCTGGACTACTTGTACAAGGAAGGACGACCATGAATTACTTGAGCGCGGGGCTGTCTTTAAAGAGTTTTCCTCTTCAGTTTATCTGTCGCCTGCTGAGAAATTCCCGCTACGATCATAGGCCAAACGTTGTGTGGAGGCTGCTCTGGTTACATCACTAACGTAGTGCGACACCCAGTTTCCATCTAATTTCGCATGATCAGTAGCAGGAGTATGAGCAGCAGCCCTTCCCCTGTCACACCACACCTATGTACAGTCGTTTTCGCTATAGATGCTGGGGCGTCTCATGGGCACAGAGTTTCGCGCAACGCCAGTCCGTGCTCCACTAACTGTTCCGGAAAAAGGGCTTGCGCTACACCAAACATAGCCTTCTCGCACGCACAGCTTTTGCAGGGAAGCGACTCTAATACCGTCCGCCCTACATCGACAACTGGCTGTCCACTGACAGGCCTCCCCCGCCCAATATACCGTCGCTGTCTAAGCTCGATCTCCACTCTGAGACCGTCAATCCATTCTTAGCACTAATTCGTAGTCATCTTCTTTCTTAATTGAAGGCCTTCTGATGAGTGCTGACCTTCAGAGGCTCTCTTGCCCTCTGTATAACGCCGCTGTCATGCGCGCACATAAAGTTTCTGATCACTCGTATTATAAAAAAAATCCTCAGTAAAAACATGTTTGGGATCCTGCCAAGGGGATGGGTTTAGCGTGGGTCTGGCCCCTTTTTTCCGGTTTTTCTTCCGGCAAGCGACGAAACTATCACAATATCTTTCGCATCAACCGTTTTCCATCAGTTCTTGTCGCTCACCCGCTCAACAACTGGTGAAGAAAGGGCTGGCGGCGGGCCAATCACAGACTACCTGACACGCCCCTTGATGCGCAGCGGACAAGACTGTAGTTCGAAATGGAGGTGAAGTAAGCTAATGCTGTGTAATTCGCTCGTCTCAAATGTCGCAATATTATAGCCAGGAAGTTAACGAAAAGAAAGTGAAGAGACAATGAATGAGTGGATGGAATCGCATTAAAATTTCGTTAGCCTTATAATTAGCAGAAAAAAAACTAGTGAAACATTCTAATAGTGAAACAATACAGTTTCCCTATTAAAATTAAAAAAATTACTCACATCACATTAATGTAATCAGCAACGTCATGTGAACATCGTGACGCTCTAACTTTGATATACCAGTCTTGACGCCAATGTAGTATAAGTCGGAAAATTCCAAGTGTACAAATGGTAAGTATATAGTAGATCACCTAAACGTGATCGATAGCAATACCGGGTTAACTTTAATATTTTCGAATTTTTCGAATAGCTAGTGCTGCACACTGAGCTAAACAGGTGAACGATATTTTAGCCGTTCGTCTTTTTCGGAGGCCGCTGGTCCCTAAGAACATCAAATATTGCGTTTTCACACTGCCCACAACAGCGTCCTCACCGGGAATCCCGTCAATGCACTGCGACTGTACAAACAATAAAAACACGCTTGTCTGTGTATGGAAAGCTAACAGTATTCACGATTTTCAGTATTGCTGGAAAAAACCACACGCAGGATTCAGTCAACGGTAACATGATGGAGTACTCGTGGAGGAATCAATAAGAATATAAAAAATCGCAGATTACCAAATTATTATGTGGCTATTGAATGTAATATACACCTTAGAGATATGCTCCAGTAAAAAGCTATTGTCAAAGAAGGAAAGAAAAAATAATGGCATCTATTCAGAAGGATCAAAATACCCACAACTGAGAGCAAAACGTCTTTGACGTCAGAAGTCAGTAAATTGTTAGTTTTTAAAACATCAAATCTATAGGCGGAGTAGAGCTCATAGAGTTCGAGTGAAATGGTCTATTCCAAAGGGGGAATAAAGCCACAAGGCCACGGGTTCCCCTTCGCTGAGCTCCTGCCTCGGCCTTTAGGAATCAATAAGAAAATAAAAAAATCACAGATTACCAAATTATTGTGGTATTCCTTCGCGTCGTCAAAACGACCATGACCAACAGAAACATTTGATAAATTGGGGTAAGGGGCGGATGTGCGAGGAGCCGTAGCGGAAGGTCGTGAGGGGGGGGGGCTTGAGATAGGGTAGAAGTCCCAACCAGGGTATCGTGATATGTGAAATGGCGGTGTCGGTACGACCTACCCCCTTACCCAGCACCTACCTACCACATTTTCCAGTTTTTTATCCGAAGATTTTCTGTCGAACGAGGGGGTGGGGAGGAATTCTACACATGAAACAGGAAAAATTAAGCGAAAAGTCAGCGACCGGGGGAAATTTTTTCCCGACGCAGCAAATTTCTCTTGAAGGCACATACGACTCCTCCCCTTTCCAGCGCCAAGTACGACCCTCTCCCCGACGGAAAAGTATGACCCCCGTGCGTTTCACATAACTATGCTGTACCCTGGTCCCAACGTTTACAGCGTTTACGTATGGGTTGATCGTTCTTCTTCAGTAACTAGTTTGTCCTCCAGATGATACTACTGGATTTTCATTATATTCGCTCACGCGCTATACGAATTCTTCGGAAAATGGTAGAAGGTTAGGAGGAATTCAGAAGGTAGTAGGTAGGATAGGGAAAGGGGAGTGGGGAACATATAGAGCAGGAAATTTCGAGAGAGAGAGGGGGTGTATTTTGCAAAATTTTTTCCCATCGGCAGGACATGCCCTGATGCAAGCGAATGAAGTCGAATGAACTGCACACGGGAGCTCTACAGTACACCTACCGTCTTCCATCGATCAATTTTGTAGGCATAAAGTTGTAGAACTTCATCTCCGGCTTGAACTGTTAGTGCATGCCTGCCATGACCACCCATCTCACCGTCCACCAGTGACTGATAAGAGCCTAAATATTTTTACTGTATTAAATAATTTCGGCTACACATTCCCCAAGACCAAGGCTTGAGACCCACCCGAATTCCCGTCAAGCAGGAGCGGCCTCCTCTCGAAATTTTCCTCGTAGATGAAACTCTGTAGTAGAAAAAAACGTTCAATTGAGACCGAAAAGTAGCAGAAAGCTTTAATGATTTTTTGCATAACCCCAGTGGTTTCCATTGTGCACGTGTTCAACTATGGCACACATGTGCAGAATTCCAATCGCATCTTCTGACCACATGTCTGCCTAGCAATAGGGTTTTTCAAGGGGCACTACAACACTGCTATGACTTCAAAAATTTAAAAAAATATCAATTTTCATGGAAATCTCTGCACTTGTGAGCTTTTGAAGCAACAATACCGAATTTAACCGTGGACTGAATAAGTTGTATGTGGTTGGCACTTTTCGATTTAGATCAAAATTAGTATTTGAAATTTCATTAGTCTGACTTTTCTCGAACGGAAAAACATTCGAATTCATAACTTTCATAGTGGAATCTTCAAGGTGCAATAATTACAGCTAGGAATAAAAAAATTCGGAACGTTCATTCAGGACTTCAGTAAGCAACCAGTTTTCCGAATTTTTTATTTTCCGAATTTCATTATTTAGCTTACTGCTTGGGAGGGAATTAATTTTGTTATATTTTCACTATTTATCTTTTTGAACAGTTTCTCATTCCCGAACCAGATTCCTAAGCAGCACAACGGTGTCAATAAAGCGTTACCAAATCTAGTTGGGTTTCATGGTATATTGTATATTATACATATTGCTCACTGTATAATATAGTATTGTATTGTACAATATGAAATATATCTAAGGAAACCAGTGAGGATAACATATGGGCAGCTAGGGAAGGGTCGTATTTGGCCACCGGAAGGGGTGGGGAGGGGTTTTTCTCCTCTAAAAATATTTTTGGTTGTTGTCCTTTCCTGGACTTTTCCCGTCCCATGTGTGCTGTGAACCCCCACCTCCATCTCCGTTCGAGGGTTTCTGGAGAAAAAGCGAAAAGTTCATGGAAACCTCGAAAAGGGGAAAAGCGAAGGAAGCTACGAGGAATTAGTACAACGGTAGGTAGAAAGGGGGAAAGGAGCTGTACCAAAGTAGGAAATTTGTAGGGGAAAGGTCGTACCTTGCGAAAAGTTTGCCAAGGGCAGGACCTACCCTGCATGTGACAGTAAGAAAGAATATGGGTAACTCGAAGAAAATAATCATTCGAAAACTCGAGATTCAGAAGGATATTCGGTCACAAGCAGTTTTCTTCCTCACGGGCAGTTTTTTGCCAAGAAAATGTAATTCAAGTTCGACTTTTTGCGGAAAAAAGATTATCTTCAGAACATAATAATTTTGCTCCTCAAAAACACCGATAAAAAGGTGCTGGTAGAAATTAATGGAAAGGAAAAAATGAAAATCTCATAACCTTCTCACATGTGGTATGAGAAGCAAAGTTAATCGAACAGAGTCAGATAATTTCGAAGGCTGAATGTTTACCAACAAAATAAAATTCCAAAAGTTTGTTCCAGCAAAAGTCTAAGAACACCCAAATCGTGGAAGTTTTTCGGATTGATTGCACACTAATTCAGTGAAGACCTTCACTAAGTTTTAGTTTTAGGCGCGGCAAAGCAAAGTATTTCCTTGCTAGGTGAATTGACGTAAAGGGCTACGTTGAACCTATTGGACCCTGGTGCGAATGCCGCGCGCGTGACATCATATGCAACCCTCAGCATGACCCGAATGTAGTGTTCTACACCATGTTGCAAACCCCACGAAGGTGCAAAGCACTGGGAGAGAGGGTGGTTTTGCATTTTCTCTGCTTCCCATATCGAGTTCATTGCTTTACAGAGTTGATAGGTGATCTTTACAAGTGATGACAAGTAGTCTCTACAAATCATAACTGGTATTACTTCATCGCTTCACAAGCTTCCAGATCTCTTCTTAATGGTACGACAGAATAAGTGCAGAATGCCCCCTCCCCTACCAAGCAAAATCGCGCCGCGCCGGAATAGCGCAGAATTGATTTTGAAAGGTTTCTAAGATTCTGATGCCTTTCGGTTGTCGAAAATGAATTTTTGAAGTCTTCAACTGGCGTTAGACTTCCATTTGTAACAAGTATCACTGACAGCAAAATACATAAACTTGTGGGCGCAACTTCGAAAAAAAAATACTTTTTAAATCAAGAACATCTCGACGTGATACCTACCATTTTCGGTTAGAGGTAGCAATAATGCAGCAGCATGAATTTTCACATCCCTTTGAATAATCGAAACAGTTACAGTACTATTGAAAACAACAGTACGAAGTGGTCAGTAGTCAATGACGTGCCGGAAAAAAAGAACCCGATCGTACTGATGCCGTTTTGATTATGACGTCATTGAAATGATAGGGGGAAATTCAGTCAATATGACGAAAAATCATGACAATAGGACAAAAAGTGATTATGTCAGAGGAAAGGTTAAAGAATGAAATAAAATAGAGAAGAGAAGAAAGAAAAAAAGGAAATAGGAAAGAGAAGAACGAAAAGAATAGGATAGGAACTGCACGAGAGGAAATACCGACCTAGTGGGTGGTAGTCCTGTTTTGAATGTTGACCGGCGATCAATGGTTTAGCGCTAGCAGATCAGCTGAGAGAACTCGTCCTGTCCCCGACACGGTCAATTATAGCCCCACTAATTGATCGTGTCCCTCTTAGTGGCAAAGCAAAGGTTCACTAGCAAAAAGGCGAAGTAAAAATGTTCCACAGTCGATTTAATCGTTCACATCGACGTTAATGTCAAATTTGAACAAGAATCAGTACGATAATCAATAGATTCGGAGGTCGTGCGCTTGTCGTTGATATGCCAAGGGTACAGGAACGGTCCTAAAGGTTGGCGATAAGACCCAGAGTACAGATGGACCAATCAAGCGGAACATAGATCCACCAATCAGTCATGAATGTCGTCTGCCGACTGTGGTAGATCAAACTAGCTCAGAAAGAAAACAAGCGTAGGCGATCAACAAACTTGTATTGGCCAATCGTGAATGTTTTCTATCGATTGTAGTAGTTCAAATCACCGCAGACATTGGAAACAAGCAACTGCGGTCAACAAGTTCATTCAAAGGAAATGTAAGAATAAGGCCAATAGCTCGAAAATCAAATGCTGGCACGAGACCCCTTGAGCTATCGTACCACGAGGATCAGCGCCCGAATACTGAGGACACAAGGTGAAGAATAGTGGGTGGTTCACTTGACGAATGGGTCATACACGCACAAACATGGCCGCGTGACCTTGTCCGACTATGCGCTTAATAGACTGGGAGCTTTACCTAGGTAATATGTAGGTAAGTATGATTGAGGGAAGGCTGTCAAATGAAAAATGAAGCAAGTTAGATGTGTCACAAGCCTGAAGCGGCAGAGAAAAAGGAAGAAGCATCCCAACGGTAGTAACGATTGATGGCTGTGGGTGTGTGTGAGCGATTGTGAACGGGAAAACGGGGGAAGGGCAGAAGGGGGGACAGACAGCAGCGGTTGATAAAGATAGCGATTCGTGCAGAAAAAGCGCGTTATATGCTGATTCATGTCGAGCAACAACATCTGTCAACAGAAAGCTTCTCAGAAAAACATCCCGGCGCTGTTCGGCTTGGAGGGGCCTTTCGCACTTTCGCTTTTCTAGTTCATGTTCCATAAGAGCCGTCCTTGCGATGAGATTCGTAAACTCCTGTGAAGCTGCTACATGGTGTTATGGGTCACGCCATAGGAATCAACAGATCGTCACAAGCTGACCTGCACAAGCTTAGCTGGGCACGATCAGTTGCCCCCACCGAGCCGAACATTCTCTCAACAGCTGGCTGCTAATCTCATCTCAGAGTTACAATTCTTTGACCAAATCTCGGCTCGACAGGGTCAAAGGAATTTCGGTAACACTAGAATTCGTTGAGGAATTTTTATTTTTCTTTTCGAGTAGGAAGAGCAGGGTACAGCATCGCTGTGTAAAAACACAAAGGGGGGTCGTACTTTTCCACTGGGAGGGCAGGTCGTATTTGGACGTTGGGAGATGGGGGGTCGAGTGTGCGTTTGAGAAAAATTTGTTGCGTTAGGGAAGAAAATTTTCCCGGTTGTTAGCTTTTCACGTGACTTCGTGATTTTGCCCCCTCCCCGCTCGACGGAAAATTTTTGGTGGAAAAACTGGACTGGAAAATTTGGGAAATCTGTAGGTAGGCGCTGGGGACGGAGGGAGGGGGTCGTACTGGCACCCGCTCTCGGAGGGTGGTCGTACCTACACTACCTTTTCACTCATCACAATGCTGTACCCTGGCCAGAGAGCAAGTTACAAAAAAGTGAATCTAAGAAATCACAAAAATATCTACTGAAACATGTTTCGTTCAAGGTTACCATTAGATGTCCTATTATGCGGAATGTATGGCGCATCCGTCTATAAGGCGCCGTGAATTTTTGTTTGTTGTTTACTAATGTGTGTTTTTTGTTCGTCCTTATCTATGCCAATAATCGATATTCAATGAGAGGTGTTTGAAGACCTATTGGAAGACTAAAATATGTAAAAAAAATCCAAAAAACAGTAGGTGTTGCGCCTAGGAATTTTTCGCGCGAGTTATAGCGTGCGCCTCTACAGGGTGCAAATAGCGCCTTCTACCCCAAAAAATATGGAAATGAGTAGCATGCAGCAGTTTCTTTACTTGTATTCCATATAATCGCAGTAATATAGTCCTTGTTTTATCATCATAACAGCTGCTTGAACGCCGTAGTTCGTGCTCGGTATCCGCAAGAAAATGAGTTTTGTGCTTAAGACTTGACCCAGATGGAACTCGAACTCGCACCTCACGCTGACCAGGCGAGCACACTATCCGTTACGCACCTTTTCAGCTGCCTCCCTCGCAGCTTCATGACTTTTGCCGTAGCCTCACAGCACTCACACGTTTAACATGTTGAGCCAGTCAGCTATGGCAAGAGAGCCACCAAGCGGAGAGAGTAATAGCAGCCCTGTTGGCCCCCTTATAGTGAGGTGCACTGTCCTTCATGACCTGGTCCACTACAATTAAATTTTCCACAAGGATCCATTGCAGCAGTGAGGATTTCTGCTGTAAGTTTCCTTAGTTTGTTTTCGGCCCGATTTTCGACTTCTGAAGAAATTCCTGCAACCAAATACCACACCATTTCTCG